TCGTCCTAGCATGGAATGCATCATGAGAATCACAATCAGAATTAACCTTAATATCACAATAGTTTCATATTTGTTCATTTGTTGCGGCGTGCAACCCACTCCCACAATATGAACTTAAGATACAATCTGCTGCGGCGTGCAACCCGATCCCACAATATAATTCTTTAAATAAATTTCGTTGCGGCTTGCAACCCGATCCAACAATATAATGTTTCAAATAAATTCCGTTGCGGCGTGCAACCCATTCCAACAATATAATCTTTCAAATAAATTCGGTTACAGCGTGCAACTCGATCCAACAATATAAATCATATCTGTTGTGGCGTGCAACCAGATCCTCAAGCAACACCAATTAAGCAACCAATTTACAACCAACTACGGTATACCGCAAAATCAAAAGGGATAACGAGGCTACACAAAAAGTCACAACTAATAAAAAGGCTACACGATAGCTCACGAAATCAAATAGCAAGGAAGTGACAATCCATAAGCCAAGGCACAATTTATGAACATCAATTGACAATTAAGGCATGTAGCAAGTAAAGCATGAATTCAACGAGTGATTACAATCAACAATTAGCATGTAAGGGTGAACTTGACAACAAGAATGAAACTTGTGTTAACAATTTGAAGTAAATCACGTACAAACAATTCTAACAACAAAAGCTATAATCATGAAACGATATTTGTAATCAATTGTATAAAAGGAGTCTAACGGTCTAAACCGGTCAAATACCATATATAGGTCATGTACCCAATCGTCATCTCGCATACACGATCTTCACATAACATGAATGACACAATCATCTCAAATCCTAAAGGGCGGTTACCCCCCTCCCCCTTACCCCCTCCCACAAAGTTAGACAAGACATTTACCTTAACAGAGTTATGCCAATATTTCAAAATAGCATTCTCTTGTTCCTATGAGTCATAAATAATAATACAAATCGAGTCGTTCAATCGAAACTCAATTCGGAGCTTATTTGCTCAATGCAATATGATGTGCCGTAGAATTTCGGCACATTTGATACCAATTACATAGACTTTAGCGCATCTTTCAATGCATTTTTAGTTAATTCTTATGAAGTTTTGGTGTTTTGCAGTGCATGAGGCTTGAGGATCCAAAAATATAGAAAAGAAGTCAAAAAGTCACAAAAGGGTAGAAATGACGCAAGTATGCAGTCGCATAAAGCATATGCGGACCGCATACCCATCGCAGACTGAAGAAGATTGTTGGTTAACTGAAGAGAAAAAGATACGACCCATTATGCGGTCGCATAACGATTATGCGGACCGCATAGTGATCGAATAACTAAAATCAAGAAAGCTGAGAAGTACTTATGCGGAGGAATATGCGGTCGCATAATGTATATGCGGACTGCATAATTGGAATGCAGTCAAGAGCTGGGTTGGATACATGAGATTATGCGGCGATCTCGAATAATATGCGGACCGCATACGTGGTCTACGACCAGTATGCGGTCGCATAAACCTTCTGCAAGGTTATTTTTGTCTAATTTTGGATCTGACTTTTAGTCCACTATAAATAGATTTATTAGGGTTTTGTGGGGGCGATGAGGAGATAAAAAAGAGATTACTTTTAGAGCATTGAATGCACCATTGTTTTGGAGACTTTTGAAGAGAGCATCTTTTATCTTTGTAAGCTTTATGACTCTATTTATCGCTCTGTTCTTAGATTTTTGTATGAGTAGCTAATTTCAATTACTNTTATATATATATATAATGGTTGGTTGATATTTATTCAGTTCTCATGCTTCATGTGATGTTAGTGGTTGCAAACATTAACTAATTCCATTTCACTCTATCTGCACTTTGAAAAGTGGGCTAGGGTTTGGTAGAATTGAATACCAAAAACTCAAGGCTTTAACTCTTGTTTAATGGAATCGCCTAGGAATAAGTGGGTTCTATTTGGCATAAATTGGTTATTTTCAATCGCAACTCTTTTACATTTGAGAAAATCTTGAAGAGTAGATATTACTCAACTATTGGAAAATAGTGGGTAGTCACTTAGAAACCATTTGCATATCAAAAGACTTTATATTAGAAATATATCATATTAACACTGATAGCATTACATTACATCATGGGGACACAACCTTGGTTTCCTTAATCAAATTAATCACAACCTCACAATATTCTACTTGTCTTCATTTCACTCAATTGCAACATTCTTTTCAACTAACAGAATAGAATTACAAATTAATTCAAGTTTTACACTACTCAAATAATCTTTTCACACCTATTCCATGTAGGATTCGACTTCAACCTAGCTGGGTCATTATATTTGACATCGACCGCTTTACACTAATTATTAAGGTGTAATTTGAGCATATCACAATACCAATTTCGCTCGTTAAACAATTAACTCATGTTTCGCGCTAAAAATCCAATCGCGACTTGATGAAATTAGACCAAACATTTCAGATAATTTCTATAATTCATTATCAAACTCCCGAAAGTCTCAAAATCGAATTTCGATCTCTACAACTAAAAATGGACATTTGGATCATTACATGCTTATGCTCAAAATACCAAACTCTTCCAAAACTCATCCGAAATAGCCTGTAGTGTATCAACTATAACTTTTTGTAGCTAACTTCAACTGTCAAACGATTTAAATTTATGAAAACTAGATACAGTGGGCTACAACTTTTATTTTTGGATCATCTCCAAATTTCTTACAGATTACGAGGTATAAGCTTCTAAAATTAGCTTTGCGATGCACACTGCTGTAGCCAAAAACCAACAGTTAACAATGGCCTAGAAATGGTCAGAAACCACTCCGAAACTCACTCGAGCCCCTTGGGACCCCGTCCGAACATACCAACAAGTCTCAAAATATATTACTGACTTAGTCGAGGACTCAAATCACATCAAATAACACTAAAACACGAATCACACCCCAATCCAAGCTTAATGAAAACAAACGAATTCCAAATTCTACATTTGATGCCGAAACCTATCAAATCAATTCGGAATGACCCCAAATTTTGCACACGAGTCCTAAATGACATAATAGAGCTGTTTCAATTTTCGGAATTAAATTTCGACCCTGATATCAATAAAATTAACTCCCAGTCAAATTTCTAAAAATCTTCCATTTTCTAACTTTCGCCAAAATGCGTCAAATTGTCCTACGAACTTCCAAATTCAAATCCGGACATACACCTAAGTCCGAAATCACCATACGAAACTATTGACATCATCAAAATTCCATTTCGGAGTCGTTTACTCAAAAGTCAAACTCTAATTAACTCTTTTCATTTAAGCTTCAAAAATAAGATTTTTTCTTTCAATTTAGTTCCGAATCTTGCAGAAATCAAACTCGATCACACACACAAGTCATAATACACATTACAAAGTTGCTCGGGACCTTAAGTCGCTGAACGGAATGTAAATTCTCAAAATGACAAGTCGGGTCGTTACAAATATGCTGAATTTGAGTCTCCTTCTTTCCGACATTTAACTCTGGAGTTTTGCTTGTAAATACTTTGCTAAATTCCGCTCTATTTATCCAATTGTTCTTTTAACAATTTCTCTTCCTCAATAAGATCATCATTCTGCAGTATATGGTTCATTTCTCTTGCACTTCATGCAATTGTTGTCGCACTTGCTTCAATTTAGTATCTACCCCTAATAGTGAATAGTATTAAGCTTCACATCCATGAGCCACATCCATATCACCAACCACCACTTATCACCTTCTTGACAACCTCCTCCACGGCATAAATGCCGCTATTAGCCACCACCACTAAGCCACCGCCACACAATCATCATCTCTAGCCACTGCTTCAGAACTACTATCACCAGTCTCCTCAACTAACTATTATCACCACCAATCACCACCTCATACTATCATCATTGACGTACAATTGTCATTATTGTTGTAGCTCGTTTTTACTCCATCAAATAAATATTCTCTTTATACCACCATATAAATTAAGATTACGTAATATATTTTTGTAGATGCAGTACCTAATTATAACTTTGTTTGAACTTTATATTTATTTAGTTTTTAAAAAAAACATAAATTATATACATTCATATGCTAAGAAAATAAATAATCTTAATTTTCAGCTGTTTATATTTAAAATAATCTGCTATATATTCATATTCAAATATCTTAATCTAAAGCCAAAAAGGTCTTTCTCTTTATAGGTACGTAATATCACGTTTGAGAATCTATCCGACAAGAAAAATAAAAGGTATTACAAATACATAACTCTGTATATACCTAACCAAACAATGTATGTAGCCTCAATCCAATCAAATCTACTCTAAGGTAAAGAAAGAAAGGAACGATTGAGGGATCAACTTGAATAGTCATAACCCGTTCCCATTGAACAAAAGAAGTAAGATGGGTATAATCAGAGGCGGAGCTAGAGATTTAAGTGTGTAAGTTCTAAATTTTAAAATAAAATATTATTTCTAGGGGGAATCGAACCCCCATCTTTTCCAACAAACCCACAACCCTTACCGTTGAACCAAGACCTCTTTTGCTATTGGGTTCAGCAGTATATATTTATATAGATTTAATAAATATTTCAATACAAATGCAAGGTTCCGGAAAAAATCACTGAGTTCACCCGAACCCGCACCCACTACTGTAGCTCTGTCCCTGGGTATAATTGAATCGAATCTAGCAATTCAGTTCGATTATATAAGTCTTATTTCTCTTGTTACTTCTAGCAATTAAGGATTGTTTAATGAACTTTTATACTATTATTATAATTTAAATTGTTATAATATATTACTTACTACTTATTTTAAATTATCAATTAATATTGTCAAGTAAAATTACTAAAAACCTTTTAAATAACCTAATTATGTAATTTACATAATCAATGCACAAAAACCAAACTCATTAAAAGACAATACCACGCAAAATAAGGAAACGAGTGAAAACAAAAAAAAAAAACAAAAATTGGAAACTACATAGAAGCAAAGGAACTTGACGGTGGACTTTCAACAAATTTGTGAAACTAAGTGTCAACCACAACCCACAGTAGTACACCCATTAAAAAAATATGAATCCAATTGAGAATTTAGTTTAACACCTTCAATATCTACTTTGACTCAAGAAAGTGGATCTGAAGTATCAGTACTATAGTAAATTAAATACCCATTTTAGCTTACATCTTATCAATGTGAAAAAACTCAGTTATAACTATACCCATTATAGTACTAGTATAGTAGATCCATTTTCTCCTATAGATCTCAGTTCCAATTGCCTTCAGCTAAAGAAAAAACCAAAAAAGAAAAAAAATGGCAAGGCAATCTGGGACTTGCTTAAGATGTTGTTTAGTAATTTTTGCTGTAGTTTCAGCTCTTTGTGTATCTGGGCCTGCTATTTATTGGAAATTTAAGAAGGGTTTAAGGTTAAAAGCTGCTCAATCTTGTTTGCCTTGTAAATGTGATTGCTCTCCTCCACTTTCACTTCTTGAAGTTGCTCCTGGTATGTGATTTTCAGCTTTTTTTAGATCCAAGATCCTATTTTTATGCATTATTTATTTAAAGATCATATTTTTATAAGTTTTTATTTGGTTTCCTTTTCTGGGGTTTCTTTATTTGATTCATTATTTTGCTTGGTGTTAGTTTTGTTGTAAGTTTTGAGGGCCAAGTTTGAGGATCTTGTCTTTGGTGTGTTTCTCAGATTGAGGTTGGATTGAGGGTTATGAATTTAAGTTTTATGCACTGATAGCGTGTAGATTTTTTATAGTGATTTTTTAACATGTGATAGCTAGTTACGGTAAACCTGTAATTACCTAATAAGTGATCTGATTGTGTAAATATGTTTTACATTGTCGGTGCATAAAACTTAAACTCTTTATTATAATTTTTAGATTGAGGGGAGATTTTTGGGTGCATGTTAAAGATTTATTACTCTCCTTAATTATCCTGTTCATTGTTTTCTTTTGATGCAAACAAACTGTTCTTTGGTTGCAAGTTTAACACATTGGTTCTTGGTAAGGTAGGATGCCGGTGAGAAGCAGATTATAGAATTTTTAGTGGATTTGGTTGGCCTAATGACCCTTCTGGTCTATCTCTTTTGTTGCACTGATTGTGTTCAAAGATGTGATTTTTGGTTATGTGAGAGCAAGTAAATAAAAAAAGGTCGAAGGAAGTGAATTTTTCTTTAAACCTGTCTTCAGTATCGGTTTTGGTCAATGTAATCCTTTAAGCTAGGATCGGATGCAGGTTAAAAAATGAAGCTGCATGATGGGGTTTATTCTGCTTTTGCATTTGGGTTAAACCCAGGAAAGCAAAACGGATGAATGAATGCTTTCATTAACAACTTGTTCCCCTCACACCTTATCAAAAACTTCTTCACCTCGCAAAATGTAGGGATGAAGGTCTTGCCTCCAACAAAATCAGACATTGTTTAGATAACATAAATGGCTACTCTTATGATTATTGCTCGAGAAGATTGAGGTCAGATCGAATGTAGTAGAAGCTTAAGTGAAGCTTTGATTGAGAGGCTCTGATACCATATAGGAAAGTAAGTACCTATTTAGCAATTAAGGGAATGCCGCATAGGATATTTTCCCCGAGTTGTGTGCTTCTGTAAAGACTTTTGAGCTGTGGTAGGTACTATCACGAAGAGCTCTCAGGTACGGTTTTTTCTTCATGGTTTTGGAGTCTGTCGATCAAGCCTCGCTTTAAGTTTCTACTTTTCTGGCCCCATAATTAAGCAAACTATGAAGAAAATGAGAGAAATCTTTCTGTCACACTTAACATAATGGCTCCTTCCTATTTTAGTGAAAGCCTGATTTTCTTAAAAAATAAATGGAGTATTTGGATGAAGTTGGTCCGAGTGAAGCGGAATGGGTATAGAGGATTATGCAGACGACACCAACTAGTTTCGGTTTGAGGCATAGTTATTATTGTTGTGGAATTTCAAGAATCTGTCTTTGCTGAAAACTAAGGGCTGGAGAATGTAGGACTTTAATTATATGCAACATTTAGCTGATGTTCATTAATTGATCCTTATGTTCTTTCCTGAATGCCTTAAGAAGTACGGCGTAAAGCTTCCATTCTGAATCGTGGTTTTAAAAGAAGTACTATGCAGAGTCTCCGTCCTGGATCCACTTTTCAATGGTTCTTGAGAAGCGGATGTAATTCTGAAGTACCAAGCACTGCACCTCCTCATTGGTTCTTTTTTACTGATATATGATAACAAACTATGCACAGAAACATGTAATGGGGATATAATGATTTGTTCGTAAAGTTACATTAGTAAGGGAATCCTCTCTTTTTTGCAAGGGACATTCAATTTTGGTATGATGGATAAGATTCTCAATTCGAAAATTCGACCATGGATAAGATCGGCACCAGGATACAATCCGAAAATTTGACCATGGATTCTTCAAATTGGAAGGGATATCTTCCAGTATGAGTACATCTTGGTAGACCTGATCTGAAATTCATAATTTTAATTTACTTGGTTATGTGCAGTTGTGTTATGAACGATATTGGCCAAGAGGCTAAGATGGAGGCAAGTTTGAGAAATCGTAACAGTATGTATGGACCCAGGTATGAGCATAAGGAGTGTGATTTGTGTAATGGGGATGAGAGATCAGATCCAGGGGTGTGTGAAGAATAGAGCTAATACAACAACCATAGCCTATCCTCTCTCACATACAGTGCTGTTTATTTATTTCCTGCCGATCACAAATCACTCTACACTCCACATTCTCCTATCCTGGTCTCATACATTTTAATTTCCCAAACTTCCCCTCCATCTTAGCTCTTGGTCAACATCGTTCACAACTAGCTGACAAACAAATAATATCATTGATTTACACCAAAGATTTTCTAAATCGTGTATCACTAGGAGTTAGGTTGCAAGGGATACTTGCATACTCTTGTCTGTATAATGTTGCAATGTTCTTTTATGCCCTAACTGAGGCTGGAGATCCTAAAAGACATTTATGTAGAGAAGACATTATTATAAAGTTGTTGGCGCCTTTTCTACTGCGTTTGTCCTTTCATATTCTTGTATGTTGCAAATGAGATCATTGATGCTTCTGAAACATAGGCGTACCAAGGAAAGTTATTTTTTTTTTTTAAAGATCTCAGGCTCCAAGCTTATGATCCTAATAACGGTTAGCTGCTTAGACTTTACTGAAAGGTTATGGTTTCTATATCTGGTCGAGCTGTTAAACTAAACTGTGTGTCGGGGCTGTTTGGTTGATGGCTTTGTATATTTTATCCTCTAAAATCCACCCCTTTGATTTAAGAAAGAAAAAAAATGGCAAATGGGGAAAGGAAAGAAATCCTAATGCTTGCGGTGTTTATTATTTTTCTTTTATCTGGTGAGATCCAGCACAATGCAAAAGTATTATCTGCTGTCTAATGATGTGAATGTTAGAATTTCATCAATGTCGTATGAGAAATGGAGTGGAAGTGTAGAAACGGAGAATGAAGATCTTTCAAATATTTAATGATGGGATTCTGCACTTGTTTTGATGTGTTATTTCACTCCGACCATCTTCTTGCTCTATCACGCTCGTCTTCCTCTCAGTGCAACCTCTAAAAGAATGAATTGATGGATCCTTGTGCTGACATATTGAGTAAAGCTAGTTGTTTATATTCCTCTTTTATTTTGAAGTTCACATCATCTGGGATTATGCTACTGTTCATGCGTTTGCTCTTATATAGTCTTTCTGATTGTTTCTATACAACGTATCTGGTGAAGTCCCATGGAAATTTAAATACCAATTAAGCTAACATAATCCCGCATTTGGTTTCCTCTTGTGCAGGCTTGGCGAATCTTACCATTACAGGTGAGCTACACTTTCTTCTTCTCCTCAAAAATGCATGTTATGCTCAGTTTAATAAAACTCGGAATATGTTCTTCCTTTAGTAAAATTATTGGGGCCATGTGTACCAAAAGGCTATCCTTCTGCTTGTTAGCAAGTCTGAAATTGAGATACATATGATTGAAAATAGATGAAAATCAGCTTCGGATGTTACTTAGGATGTTGTCTATAATAAGAGAACAGTACCACTCGATAGCATATCCTATGTTTATGCATATCCCAGTGCATCCTGATGAATATAGAAAACAATATCCCTTACGGATAAGGATCATTAGATCATAGTGACAAATAACGCTAAATTGATTATCACCTTGATAAATGGATACTTAATCTCCTAAAATGATTGAAGACTTTTCCTTCAAAATTCTGACTAGGAGCTACTCTCTCTGTTTCAATTTAGATGACACATTTCGCTTATTGAGAGTCAATTTGACTAAACTTCGAAGTTAATTTGGATTAGCTCAACTCAATATTTTAAAATTAAAATTTAGATATTCAATAACTATACGAGAAATACTATAAGTTGCAATTTTTCTCATGATAAAAAAATATATTTTAAAATGTTGGTCAAACTTTATACAGTTTGATTCTCGATAAGCGAAATATGTCATTTAATTTGAAACGGAGGGAGTATAATTTTTGGATCTGAAACCAAGCTATTTTGCTCAGTGAACACTGCCCGTCTATAATATGGAGACACGCTGCCTAAAATCTTTTCTCTGCAGCATGTCAATTCATACAGCATAATTATGGATCCTCAGATAAGGGTATATAGTGCTTAAACCAGAAAGTCTTAGAAGTGGGAAAGAGTGGAAACTACATGGAAAAAGCTTCTTTGGTTTAAGGAACATGCTCACAGATGCTATATGTAATTTACAAATTACAATGCAAGAAATGTGTTCGGGGCCAGTCGAGAAGTTTAGAGATCCAGTTGTGATTTTCTTTTACCTAGTTTCTTCCATTTTACCATGTATTGCTTATGTTCGTTACCTTTGCAAAAGATTGTTTTTAACGGAAATCATGACACACTACATTGTAATGTTTCTCATTGGCATCAGACTGCGGCAAAGATGATCCGGATCTAAAGGAGGAGATGGAGAAACAGTTTGTGGATTTGTTATCGGAAGAGCTGAAGTTGCAGGAAGCTGTCGACAAGGAACACGTGCATCATATGAACATCACCTTTGTGGAGGCAAGAAGGTTAGCTTCTGAGTACCAAAAGGAGGCTGAGAAATGCATTGCTACCACCGAAACTTGTGAAGTCGGGCGAGAAAGAGCTGTTGTGTTGCTTGCCAAGGAAAAGAAGTTGACGTCCGTTTGGGAGCGTAGAGCGCGCCAAGCTGGTTGGCAAGGAGAATAAAGATTTAAAACAAAACTAGTGAATAAGTTCATCTTTAAGTTTCACTGCAGTAGCTCAAATTTTGTTGTCCACTGTTGTAGCTTATGTTAGTTCTCTCTCTATGAGCACAAAATTGCTCATATTTCTTTATCTATATGTGTATTTACTTACTCTCCTGTATCTTTTGATCATATGAAATATATACTCTTCACATTATATTTCAGCATTGAATCCAGTTACAACCCTTTATTGATGTCATTATGCACTTTTTTAAGCCATTTACAAAAATTCTTGGTCAAAGTGAAGTTACATTTCTTGGCTCACCATTTACATGGTGAAGAAGGAAAGAATGTTGGTAGCAATATTTGCCAATAAATGTACTATGTAGTTTTTAGCATCTTGAAACTACGTTTCTTACGCAAAGCTACTTTCTTTTTGTATTATCAGAGGCGGAGCCAAGCTTATGAGCTCGGGATTCTAATCGTTTTAAGTTACTAAATTGAAATTAATAATTTATGTGTATTCACATGGAATTTTAAAGATAAATACAAATTCGAACCAAAACTACTGAGTTCGGACGAAATCCGCTCACGACACTCTAGCTCCGCCCTTGATTACCTCTTGGAGTAAGGTGTCCAGCTGATTTGGATAATCAGTCTCCATTAGAACACAAGGTTTGGACCCAAGTGTGACTGCTGAATATTAAGTGAGGAGAATCATGAGATTTTAGGTTCAAATTCTAGCCGGAGTAGAAAACATTACATAATTTCTTTCTATCTGCTCGAGCCTAATGGACAGAGTTATCGATACCTGTGAATTGTAATGATGGAAGATAGCAGCTAGTCAGTGAAATAATCGAGTTGCACGCAAGTTAGTCTGGCACCACGTCTCAATAAAAAGACAAATTTTGGCTTGAACTATAGTATGATCAAATTTTAAACTTCATCTTTCGCAAGAAAACACCACATATTGCACTAAACTGATCTAACAGTATTTTTTCAAACCGTCTTATGAAAATTTAACTCAAATTTGTATGACTCTACGAGCTCAAAGTTTTGTATGAAGGAATTATATATCCTCTCAAATGAGAAACTGTCTATTTATACTGTTGAGCTGTGTGTTTTAATGATTAACAAGTGTTTACAATAAACATGTGCTAAGAACCAGGTTCTCATTGCGGCCGCAAAACGTTCCTTACAAGGCAATTAACTTTCTTTGGATGAATCAAAAATTATTTGTGGAAGTTATGGTGACGAAACTTGAGGAGTCCTTATGACCTCAGGACTTGTATGTTGATTATAGTTTGATTGTGCCTAGGACTCTCAAGTATCAGGGTGCTGTGACGACTTAAATACTCTGTTCAAGGACTGTTCAAGACTATCCTTTTTACACACCTACAGAGTACGAAGGAGCATTAATTTTCAGTCTACAATACACTTGAAGTCGTTTGATCAAGTCTATTCGTGCAGGAGAGCAAACTGTGGAGTTAGTTCATATGCTACTTGAATCAGTCTAGTTCATGTGTATTAAGGAATTGAGTTGTATTCATATTTTATTCAAAACGATGTAGTTGAATTATTGTATGAGTTTACAAGTTAGAGTAACTTGTAGTTTTCACATGATAAACAAGAGTAGTTAAGGTGTGGAGGTGTATTAGGTTATTAGTTTCTGGACACGTGCGTTGCACGTGTATTTCATATTATGAGTATAAACTTTTGAAATGGCATAAATATTATTTAAAAAGCTATGTCAAGCATATATCATACAAAAAATTGAAGAGAAAAAATGCAAGGCGAAAACAACGAATGGCGAAAATGATATAGTTATGTGCTCAAAATGATTGGATAGAGTTTGAGTTGTGAAGGGAAACAATTCTATTTGGTTAGCTAGATATGTTTCTAATTATATTAATTTTTATTTTATGAGATACAATCATGTTATATGATCATATATCTCACCTAATAATTTTTTATAGACGATATTCTCAGAATATGCTCATTCTGGGTAACGATTGCCCTATCATAACAAGAATTTTTGTTTACGGATTGACATTAGTATTTTTTTGAAAGTGCAATATCAAATTATCCATATAGCAAATATGGATAGAAATTGAAACTCTTTCGTACATACTATATTTTTTCCGAAAGAATGTAAGAATAAGATGTTTGTACAAAAAAATGCCAATTAAGTATAAAGCAACCAACAATAATAAAAATAGAACAAAAAGAAAATAAAAAAATTCCAATAAATGCGCAAAATGATACAATAATTAGTTAAAAATATGAATTGTATCGCCAATTTGAGCAAACCTTACACATCGAACTAAAAATGGAAAAGAAGAACCAACATGGTTAGTATATTCAGCAAACTTTTCTCAAGGCATAAATATTCTAGAGAGGAAATTAGAAAGAAAAAAAATGAGTTAACAACATGCTAATCCAGAAATAAAAAATTAGTGCGTAGATTTTAATAATATTTAGAGTCCTTTTTTTAAGAAAAATAATATTTAGAGTCATATGCTATAATTTTAGCAGCAGGAAAAAAAAAAAGAGTCATATGCTATAAGATTAGTATTCAAGTTAATGAAGTTCTCCAATTCCTTGGACAAATGTGTTTCCCTTCTCCTTTTTTATTCCCCTTATTAATGAAAAAGCATCGAATACACTTATAAGCACAAGATCAAGAAAGAAATTATCGAACTTAGAACTTAATTCGAACTCCATGTCTGGAACTAAGCAATTGAAGCAAAAGATTAATTAGACATGGGGTTTTAAGAATGCAAAATTAAGTGTGAGGCATCTGATAATAAACTTATTAATTACCACTTCAATTTGCAAATAATAACTATTGCCATTTTAGTTTCAATTTCAACTACCATAAGAAGACAATAAGGAGAAAAAATAAGTATATGAGAACATTCAAAAAGAAGACTAACCATTAGAAGAATGTCTGCAGTGTTTATATTCAAGAGGTGGCTGCATTGACTTTCAAATTTATCAACTGGATACAACACAAATATAAGAATTGACAAAAATGATCCAGTAAGAGGTGTAAATAGCTCATGCTTTCTCCACTTAATGAGCATAAAATTCTCACTATTTAAACTTGACATGTGATTAATGTTCAAACGTGGTTTGATAAGTTTTCGATGTAGGAAGTGGATGAGACTATCGGGCATAAAGGTGAATGTTACAAAATTTGAAGGGACTCTCGGGCATTAATACTAAATAGTATGGCTGAAATTCTTTATTTAATTATATTTTTTCCTTTTTTATGAAGGTCAAAATAGTCAATTAATTTTAGATGTACATTTTCGTAATTTAACTTTTGATTTAGGGGCTTCCTATATGATAAGAGTTGAATATGTACTTTTGGCTCATTTGTTTTAGTAAAGTTAGAAGCTTAAAATCATACGTGGTAAGTCGTAATTTTTGCACCTTTAAACCGGGCGATTTTACACGTTGATACTGTTTGAACATAAAAAGTTAGATGAAGAACGGAGGTTTTTGGTAATTTAGGACATACAAACAACCTAAAGCACAAAAGAGCAATGTTTTAAAATTATGGTTTCATTTTGTATTAACTCTTGGAGTCAAGTTACTAAAAAACAATTTCATTTCTGGAAGATATAAGCACTGATGATTGTGTTTCAATTTTATAGAGAATACAATAATACATTACCGACGTCTTTTTTTCATCATGTTGTAATATTATATTTCATAAAAAGGAACACATTAAAGGGTTGAGAAGACATATTTAGAAGAAATCTTGTCGATAATATTTTTAAAAATAAATACATCTTAGGATGAAATTGTATATCTCATTGTTTTCTCGCATTAATCTTTTTTTTGGTGTGGAAAATATAATGTATATTTTATTTACCTCTTTCTGAAGATGTTATGTAACTTCTTTCAGTAGTTAATCCCACGTCGGCAAATATAAACTGAGAGTGAGCAAATGCTGTAGAATAAAACTTGGGTTGGGCTGACTTGATAACATACTTACCTGGACGGGTCAATGGGCGATCAATAAGGTCCATGGCCTAGGCTGGTGACTTTCATTACACTCTAGAAAGGGTGCTAGCCTAAAGTCGGCCCAAGTGGTCGAACTTACATCATAATTTGTGGTAGTGGGGGCGTGTGTTCGCGCGGCCCCTGCCCAATCGTAAGTCCAAACATTTGGGCCTCAAGCCCTATTTCAGCTCGAGAGCGGCCCTTTCTTAGTTGGCTGGAAAATTGGGTCTTTTACGTGGCACGTTGATATGAAAAATTATATTATTTATATAAGTAAAAATATTTTTTTTTGTATATATACTACTATGTATTGACCCCTCTTGACTTACTTATGTAGTTATTTTGTTAAATTTTGATATCCCTTAATGAAAATTATACCTTTGTTGTTGCAGCTTCCATTTACTATGCAATCTTCTTGCAAGCAAAAGCTATTTATGACGTTTTTCGGCTTTGATTATTTTATCACTAGCTGGCCTTTTTTATGGGTTGGAATTTGTAAGGTGAAACAGAAAATTAGTTGTGAATTGATCTAACCCTTATTATAGCATGTCAATTTTAGACCCACAATAGTTCTTGTTAGTTGTATCACTCTCTATGGGTTCAAAGTGGCTGATTTATGTTATTACTTCAATACATGTAAACATTATTTTGGTGATACTTGTATTGTTAAACCATGTGTATGTTATTGCAAATATTAGGTTTTTACCGAAGGATGTGGTGCATTAAACAGTGGATGAGACTGCTCTTTCCTTAACCAGAGATCTCGGGTTCGAGCCATGAGTATGGAAAAATTCTTAATACGGAGTGCTTCCCCCCGAATGGGGCCGTACGTGGCGCAAATCCGGATATAGTCGGTATTCCAATGTGGGTACCGGACACCGGATGGGAAAACACCCCCAAAGGATGAAATATTTTATCTAATGTAAACAAAGCTAAAGAAAAAAAATTGTTAGGCTTTTGGGTAATTATCTCAGAAATATCTCCATTAGTTTATGTTTGCTAGTATTTATTAAGGTTTAGAAAATTGACGAGGTTCAATTTCGGCCAACTGGTAGAACGTAACTTACCGGCACCCCCGGTCGTTCATACACCATTTATCACATACATTAAAACCTCTTTGTAACACACTCATTTGTTTCGAATATTTTTATTTATTATAGCGAAGTACTGTTAGAGATAACATATGCTACTATTATAACAGAACATAATTGATTCCATAAAAAGAAATTGACTTTTATAGTTAATAGTAGTTATATAACAATACGGTAATAGAGATGTCTGACCGTATATGTATTCTCACTTTATTTTTTAACCGCTATGATTAAATTACTTAGCTTGGCATAAATATGGGGAGTAAATATTTACCATGGTAGAACAGGCAAGGAGAAGGCGCATATATGAAACATAAAATTCTCCAATCTGAAGGAAATCCCACATCGAGAGCTAACAAAAGCCAGAAAGGAGAGGACTGATATAAAAGCGGAAGGCCGTGTACAAGATAAAGCATACCTTTCTCGGCCTTTTGGCTAAGATCAAGTGTAGTATCTGTTCTTATCAGTTTAATATCTAATATGTGAGTCATCGACTCACACGATATTAACTTAAATTTTTAAGGGGGAGAGTCCATTAAGGTAGCTTGCTACCTGGGCTCTCAAGTGTCGCCCATGCGTTGCACTATTGCAAGGGCCTGGCGCACCCCACCAAATCAAATCTAAATTTCAGCACTGGCCTTGATTTGTATTGCTTTATTAGTATATATTTTAACGCTTAGATTATACGGTAGACTACAAAAATGTTACTGACTCAAGTAATATTCACTATTCAATTAAATGAATACGAAGAAAGACTCTTGCTTTAGAATATGGACGTATTTATAGTAGACAAGGCAATATTTATCTCCCTGTTTTAGTCGGGCGACTATCGTATTGCTCGCCAAGGAAAAGAATTGATATCATAGATCAAATTTTGTCGTCCAATCCTTCGACTTATCTCAATCTCAAAAGCTAGCTCAAACTATGATCCGCATTTCTGATTAGTACTTCTCTGGGAATTCTCTACTTGAAAGTTTGAACTTCAGAATTTTATTGGTGCCATTGTGCACTTTTCTAGCCAAATGAGAAACTGTCTATTTATGAAAACAACCTAAAGCACAAAAGGGAAATATTTTAAAGTTATGGTTTCTTTTTGTATTACTTTCTGGAGTCCCGTTACTACAAGATAAAAGCACTATTGTGTCTCAAATTTTATAGAGAATACAATAATACATTATGATGTTATTTTTCTTCACGTTGTAATATTATGTATTTCATAAAAAAGGAACACATTTAAGGGTTGAGAAGACATACTTAGAAAAAAGATCTTGTAAATGTAAAGAGAGTGTTTTCTCTTTCTTCATTAGTTGATTAATCCCACACCGGCCAATACAAACAGAGAATGAACAAATGCTGTAGAATAAAATATGAGCTGGTCTGACAAATTAACATACTTACCTGGACGGGGTCAATGGGCGATCAAAAAGACTCATGGCCTAGGCTTGTGACCTCCATTGTACTTTGGAGGGGTGCTAGCCTAAGGTCGGCCCAAGTGGTCGAGCCTACGTCATAATTTGTGGTAGTGGGGGCCTGCGTTCGCGCGGCCCCTATCCAATCCTTAGTTCAAACTTTGTGGTCCGTCCCAGTTTCAGTTTTAGTTTAAGGTCGGCAAAGCAAACTCTTGTCGCTACTGAAATCCCAGGAGAGCGTTATTGCATAAGTGTTATATCCTTTGTTATTTGGAGACTAGGATCTTCCAATTACATCTAATACAATATGGTAAATGAAATTTTATCTAAAATTATTCTCTTTCCTAATATTTTATATTGTTGTTATTTTGTTTTCGCCAAATGGTTTCTGCCCACTTAAACTTGTTGGGTATTTAAAAGTCGATACATAAACATTTTACTTTTTCTTTTAAACACTCAAACTCATTTTTCCCGCAACTAATAAACACAATTGACAAGAGACCATACGTGTCCATCCAGTCATCAAATGACCAATGGATGGTCTTACATGTCGCGTGAAAACCATAACCCAACAAATTTGGGTCCCTTCCAAAATCGATCATAAATCACTCACCCGTTTTTTTTCCTTATATTATATGTTAATCTCGTTTTGATCGAGCTTCGTTTGGTCCAAGTGATGCAAAACTTAGCTTCAACTCCACAATGACAATATACAACTTTTTATCATTTTCATGGTCCGGAGAAAGAAAAAAAATTAGAATTGGAGCTTCAGATTTTACAAAATTGAGGAATGGAGCTTCAAATTTTAAAAATGGAGGAAGATGGTATTTTAGAAAGAATGAATAAGAATATACTTAAATACAACCCATTTTATACCGTTGGACGTTGGGAAAGAGGCTTTCACGCTCCTATGCGTCGTGCGACCTGCTGATTAGGATCAACTGACGCTACCTGAACATGGTCAATGATCAAATGTGTTTATTAGTAACGGGAAAAATGAGTTCGATTGTTCGAATGAGATAATTGAAACTTTATGTATCAGCTTGTAAAAAACCCGATCAAATTTAAGTGGCTAGGAAGCCATTTCGCTTTTTCTTTAAGACTTACCCAAATTATTCCTATATAAACAGAAGCTAGTGCTTATATTATTCCTATATAAGTTTGTTTTTACAATCCCGAATCAATTTAAGCACTTACGTTTGTCATGAAATTGAAACACGTGAAGTCACTTTAATAAAACCCATGAATTTGATGTTTGTTCGACTAACAGACTCTTAAATGTCTATTTTCAAATTTGCCTCTCAGAACAAGTTACAAGCAAATGTGTCTCTAAATTCTGTTCCTATCACATCTTTAATCTGTGTATCTACTACTACTAGTATTTCCATACAACAATAATCCCACAGCTGAGATTATCAACAAAGAATCATGTATAAAACCAGAAGTTTGATTAAATTAAGCCACTCTTTTATAGTTTGGAGTTCACATTATTTGCTGAATAATGATTATGGCCGCATTTTGAGGCGTCCATTCCTTTCAAGAACATATTCAAAACCAAAATCACCTATTCAAAAACATATACAGTCAAAACCCCACTTAGAATCTACCACAAGACAGTCCATTTGTAGCTTTAACAAAATGATTATGACATTAGGCCGTCAAGGCAAAGTTATAGAAGCTAGGAAGGTGTTCGACGAAATGCCTCGAAGAGATGTTGTTTCTTATGCTTCAATGATTACTGTTTATTTAAAACATAAGGATCTTCCTAAAGCTGAGAGGTTGTTTTATTCCATGCCTGAGAGAAATGTAGTGTCTGATTCTGCTATGGTTCATGCATATGCTAAAGTTGGCAGACTCGATGAGGCTCGAAGAATCTTTGAGCGAATGCCTGATAGAAACGTTTATGCGTGGACCAGTTTGATTTCTGGGTATTTTCAGAACCGTAGAGTGGATGAAGCTCGAAAGTTGCTTCAAGAAATGCCTGAGAAAAATGTGGTTACCTGGACTACAGCAATGGTGGGCTTTGCTCAAAATGGTTTGATTACTGAGGCACGACGTATTTTTGATCAGATTCCTCAGAAAAATGTCATTGTTTGGACGGCGATGATCAAGGCTTATGTTGAAGATAGTCAGGTGGATCAAGCTCTTGAGCTCTTTGATAAGATGCCTGAACGTAATTTATATTCTTGGAATGTTATGATTCAAGGTTGTTTACATGATAACAGGGTGAACAAAGCTTTGGAACTATTTAACGCAATGCCATGGAAAAATGCAGTTTCTTGGACAACTATCGTTACTGGTCTTGCACGAAATGGGTTGATAGAATTGGCAAGAGAGTACTTTGATCAAATGCCAAATAAGGATCCAGCTGCGTGGAACGCTATGATAACGGCCTATGTTGATGAAGGCCTAGTGTCTACGGCCAATGAACTTTTTGATTTGATGCCTAATAAAGATATTGTAAGTTGGAATGTAATGATTGACGGGTACGCAAAAAGTGGCCTTGAGGGTGAAGCATTGAAGTGTTTCATTCTCATGCTTCGGTCGGGCTTAAGGCCTAATCAGACTACTCTTACCAGTGTAGTGACCTCGTGTGTGGGCATCTTGGAGTTATTGCAAGCACATGTTCTTGTTTTACTGCTAGGATTTGACCAAGACACTTNTAAGAAAGAAAATGAAGGAGAGAAATGTGAAGAAAGTACCCGGTATTAGTGAAATAGAAGTCAATGGGAAAAATCACATATTTTTTGTGGGAGACAAGTCTCACCCCGAGAAGAAGGAGATTTACATCTTGCTTAAAGACAATTTATTGCCTCTAATGCAAGAGATGATTTAGAGAAATCAAAGAGATGCATTGAAGGGGAGCCTTGGCGTAACTAGGGATTGACGAATATGATTTGAACCATTTGTTCATGTAAGTTTTGAAGAAAGGCGACCAAGTCAGTTATATTAACCTAATAAGTTGTACTATGGGATTAACCAACCACCAAATCATGAAGAAAAAGTGTGAGAAGATGCGCTTAGCAGCGTTATTTTATGTTCCAAGAACCAATGTAGAAGTGTCATGTACTGGCTAATATGGCGTGATGCTGAAAGCTCGAGTTGAAGTGAAGAAAAAGGTATACCAGGAATATTTCTCATTTTTAGCACTATACATGCTACATTATCAAGTAGTTTATCAGGTTGTTAAAGTCCCTTCTAGGATTTGGCATCAACTTTCCAATATATCATACTGCTCTTGTTTGCTATTTGCATTCTCTCTCTCAGTTCTTTTCTAGTTAGAATGTTGAAACTTGTCAGATAGAGTATATCTAGAAATCCTATCCACGATCTACTCTTTGTCCTCAAAAGCACTTTGTATGCCTCAATTTTATTTGAAAATCGAGTTATCATGCAGCTATGATAGGATATGATATTAGAATGATATCTGAATCCACCTTTACAACTCCAGTGAGGAAAGTTGAATTTGCTTAATGGTCTGTGACTCTGTGCGATATCTCTGCAACAACTACAACAACAAACCCAGTGGAATCCCACAAGTGGGGCTTGGGGAGGGTAATGTATACGCAAACCTTACCTCTACCTTATGAAGGTGGAGAGGCTATGTGCGATATCTCTGCATATGCCAGTATTCTGATGTAAAGAAAAGGATATCCCAATTTTAAATAAGTTTATTTTAAGGAACATGTTGCTGATGCTTAAAAGTTTAGGACTTTTCTCCTAGAAATAATTCTTTCATATTTCGGGTCAAATTATACTTCATCACACCTTATAGCTTCCACTTATTATGAGTTTCTCTTGCAAACTAAAGCTATTGATAATGCATTTTGGCTTGGTACTTCTATCATTAGCTGGCCTATTTATTTGAATTATGGTTTTAGCTAGCTATTATCATGTCAAGCTACTTCGTGGTGTTTTCTTGTTGCTATCAGACTATGGCTAAGATGAACCTTCTCAAAGGAGAATTTGAGAACCAGTTGAACATAGCTCAAAGTAGCTCATGTATTTTATTCTTTCAATATAAAGGGCAGCCCGATGCACGATGCATCTTTCATGCAGGGTCTCGGGAAGGGTCGCATCTCATGGGGAGTGTGATATAGGCAGGGTATGTGGAAGAACCGCACCTTAATGGGTGTGATGCAGACAACCTACCCTGATGCAAGTATCAGTAGCTGATTCTACGGCTCGAACCCGTGACCATCACAAAATATAACTTTACCGTTAGCCTGACACGTTTCCCAACAACTGGTATCAGAGCACAGACAATGTAATTCTGGTAAAAAAGTACGTTATCAGTGCAGGTACTATTCACAAGAATAGTGCGACATTATTGATCATCGTTATTATTCACATAAATTATTTTTGTGAAAAATAGCATCGGAAGAAGGGAATGTTAATATTGACAAGTTCAATGGTAAATATTTTGAATTCTAAAAAATACAAATAGAGGATTATTTGTACCAGAAAAGATTACACTTACCTCTAACCGAGGTAAAACCAGAGAATATGGCCAAAGCGGATTGGGATCTATTAGATCGCCAAGCTCTTCGTGCGATTCGTTTGACGCTAACACGAAATGAGACGTTTAACATCATTAACGAGAAGACCACTGCATGCTTGATGAAGGCATTATCAAATATGTACGAGAAGCCATCTACTTCAAATAATGTCTATTTGATGCGTCGATTGTTCAACTTAAAGATGAAAAAAAGTGGATCTGTCACGGAACATATCAATGAGTTTAATGTAATATTAACTCAGTTGAGTTCTGTCAATATAATATTCGATAATGAAATCAGGGCATTGATTCTACTATAATCTTTATTGGAAAGTTGGTCTGCAATAGTAATTGCAGTTAGCAGTTCATCGGGAAGTACCAAACTCAAATTGGATGATATTAGAGACTTGCTTCTAAGTGAAGATATTTGCCAGAGAGAATCAAGTGATTCCCCAGGATTTGCTTTGAATACCGAAAGCAGGGGGAGAAATAGCCAAAGAGGACAAAGTCATGGTCGTGGCAGATCAAAGTCAAGGAGAATAGGAAAATTCAAAAATCGCAAAGACATTATGTGTTGGAATTGCGATAAAAAGGGTCACTACAATAGTCAGTGATGATAATTCAGCAAATGCAATTGCTGAACAAGTTGGTGATGTACTAATTTGTTTTATAGACAGTCCAGTCGAATCTTGGATTCTCGACTTAAGTGCATCATTTTACTCTACATCATGCAAAGAATTATCGCATAATTATATTGCTGGAAAATTTGGGATAGTTTATCTAGCAGACGGCGAACCTCTAGACATTGTCGCGAAATGTGAAGTTCATATAAAGGCTTCACAAGGCACGCTATGAAAATTGCAAAATGTCTGACATGTTCCTAACCTCAAGAAAAATCTGATATCTATGGGTCANGAGATACAAAGCACGATTAATAGTAAAAGGCTTTCAGCAGAAGGAAGGGATTGACTACACCAAGATCTTCTCTCCTGTAGTCAAATTAACTACTATCAGGTTGGTGCTAAGTATCGTAGCTGCAGAAAATTTGCATTTGGAGTAGCTAGATGTTAAAATTGCTTTCTTGCATGGTGACCTTGAAGAAGACATCTACATGAAGCAACCTAAAGGTTTTCAAGTTTCTGGTAAACAAACCTTGTGTGTAAGTTGCAGAAGAGTTTGTATGGTTTGAAACAAGCACCCCGATAATAGTACAAGAAATTTGATGGATTCATGCATAATAATGGTTTCACACGATGTGAGATGGACCATTGTTATTATATCAAAAATCTTGATAAATCCTATATCATTTACTGTTGTACGTTGATGATATGCTAATTGCAGGATTTAGCATAAATGAGATCAACAGGGTTAAGCAACAATTGGCGGAGGAGTTTAAAATGAAAGACTTAGGACCAGCTAAGCAAATGCTTAGGATGAGGATTAGTAAAAACATGTCTGAAGGAACCTTAAAATTGTCTCAAGAAAAGTACATACAAAAGGTGCTAAGCAGGTTCAGTCTTCATGATGCAAAGACCAAAAGCACTCCACTCGGAAGCCATCTTAATCTGTCAAAGGGCCAATCACCTAAGACAAATGAAAAAAGAAAGTACATGTCCAAAGTTCCATATGCTTTAGCAGTAGGAAGTTTGATGTATGCTATGGTTTGCACTAGACCTGACATAGCCCCTGCAGTCGGATTTATCAGTAGATACATGTCAAATCCAGAAAATGAGCATTGGGAAGGTGTAAAATGGATATTGCGATATCTCAAAGGCACCTCAGGTATGGCACTTTGTTTTAAAAGGAGTAATATTATCTTACAAGGTTTTGCTGATGCAAATTTAGGCGGCGATCTGGATAGTCGAAAAAGTACCACAGGCTACGTGTTCATCTTGGGTGGTACTGCTGTTAGCTGGATGTCCAGACTTCAGAAAAGTGTTGCTCTATCTACCACTGAAGTAGAGTACATGGAAATCTCAGAAGCTGGAAAGGAGATGATTTGGCTTAAGAATTTTCTTACAGAGCTAGGTAAAGAGCAGGACAATTGTGAGCTTTTCAGCGATAGCCAGAGTGCAATTCATCTTGCCAAGAATCCAGTGTTTCATGCAAGATCGAAGCATATCCAGTTAAGGTATCATCATATCCGAGAGTTGATAAGTGAAGAAACTCTTTCCATGCAGAAGATACCAGGATCAAAGAACCCGTCAAATATGTTGACCAAAGTTGTCGGTGTTGACAAACTGAGGCTGTGCACTGCCTCAGTTAGCCTTCAAGACTGATAGCATGAAGGCGCCACCATAGAATAGCAAATCTTTTTTTTTAATTTCTTTCTTGATGTAACATAGGTTTGAGGATAAATTTATGATGTAAGCACTTACATTGACATTCCTATGATGTAAGTGCTTACATCAGCATTCCTATGATATAAGCGCTTACCTCGGCAGGGCATTCAAATGCCTATAAAGGGGTATGCATTTTCATTTGTAAATCATCCCTCAACTTCTTCTTTCTCTCTTCAATTAATAAAGAGCTATTCTTTGTGTGGTCGTGGAGTAGGCAAAATTGATGAACCACGTAAATTTTGTCTTGTCATGTACAATTTATTGCTTTTCTCTTTTAAATATTTTCTCCTTCTATTAGCCTGACATGTTTTCCAACATCGTCGACATAAATACAAATAACAACTCCATAATCTACTGTAAACTTCGAGTAAATACATTTGTCAGTCTGATTATGTACGAAACCACTTGAAAATATTATACTATCAAACTTTTCATGCCACTGTTTTGGTGCTTATTTCAAGCCATAAAGAAACTTTATAAGCTTACAAACTTTATATTCATTACCAGGAAGAACAAATCCTTCAGGTTATTTCATATAAATTTCTTCACTTAAATTTTCATTTAAGAAAGCAGTTCTAACATCCATTTGATGTACATATAGATCATATATAGATGCCAATGACAAAAGTACTCTAATAGATATTATTGTTGCAATTGGTAGTCTTGCTTTGAAGGTTTTTATAGAACCGTCTGTATTATATTTTCTCTTGAATATCCATTTACAACCTATAGGTTTAGATCTAGCAGGCAAATCAACTAAAATCCAAGTGTTGTTGGACACTATTGAATCCATTTCATCATTGATCACCTCTTTCCAAAAATCAACATCTCTTGAAGATATGGCTTCTTTGCTTGTTCTAGGATCTTCTTCT